AAGAGGCATTGTTCCTTTCAGGTTCCGCCAAAGGGTTCTACAACGGGTTACTGTAAACAATCCTAAGGGTCCATGTACTCATATAGTATATACGTTGGCCTTAATGTAGTCCCTATATTGGTACTTTGGGGCTCACGTATCTTTATATGGGTACATGGACCCTTAGGGCACTGTAAAGCTTGTGATACAGGGGCCTCAGTGATCAGACCAGAGGTTATTGCAAATTGCAGTACGATTGCCGATTGCTTAAGCTAGATACGGGCTTATGGCTTAAGGAGGATGTAGGATCTGTACGGATGTTTTGTGTCTTATGCAAAATTTGCAAGCTACGGGAGTTGGTTCAGGGCATCATCCAAGGAAAGCATATACTGTATTGCATATTTCCGGGCTCTGGCTGTTTCGTAGAGGTCTCGATCATTGGACACAGGTGCTGCAGATTATAGACATAAAGAGGAATGCGCGCGAAATACAACAACCTAGAAACCATACTTCTTTGTTACAATAAATAGGAAACATTACCATGGCTGGGGTAACCTGTAACGGAAGCCTGAACCCTCAGGGCAACCTGCCACTGTGAAGGACCATAGCTTCTGGTGGGGGCTCCATGTAGGAAAGCATGCACTGTCCAGAACGAAGGGAGGCCAGCATAGTTGCCCTAAACTCTAGCATGAAAAGTTGGTTCAGCCGTTATTGCCAAGGTGTCCCTGTGCTTTGAAACCAAGGATTTCGAACCAAGGGTGCTTTCTGGTTCAGGGTTTCGAGATCAGGGTGAAAAAAGGGGCAAGGACCTTTCATCAACATGACTGCGCTCATTTTCTGTCAGCGCATGCCGAAGCAGCAGCCTCCATGAGTAATCGTCTGACTCCACTCGGGCATGCATCAGCTGCAGCAAGTGGTGTCCTCACGTCTCTGCTGTGTGCCAACTCTAGAGCGGCTCGGCCTTCACCGTTCACAAGATCCGTCTGAGCACCGCCCTCCAGGAGCAGGTGCGTGACTTGGACCTGACCTTTGCTGGACGCGTACATCAGTGCTGTCCATCCGTCTGCGTCGGCAAGGTTTACCTTCGCACCTGCTTCCAGCAGCAGCTCTACGATTTCAGGGCGATTGCTATCTGCTGCCTGCATCAACACGGTGACGGCAATAGGGTTGACATCCGGGTGCATATCAAACCTTACGAGAGCATGTCGCTGAGCATCCGGGTCCATGGGGAGCTGCAGCAGGGCTTCAACCTGACGGATTCCCTAGGCCCTAAGGGTCCATGTACTCAAATAGTATATACTTTAGCCTTAAAAGTAGTCCCTATGTAGGTACTTTGGGGCCAAAGTATATACTATTTGGGCACATGGACCCCGATGGATTCTGAGGTTTTCGGGGGTCCCACACACACCTGGCTACCTAAGCGATGTGACAGACCGCATGTTGCAGCTGTTTCATTTGTATGAGACCATGCGTGTTCCTCATTGTCACTCACGGGAAATACTCCGCATACTCAGCTTCTTGGTTGCTTGAACTACCCTCTTTGATGTGATGCTTCTTGAGTCGGACTCCCTTCCTGAAACCTCCATGTACCTACATATCATAGCATGTACTATGGCTTTAACGGGGCTCCTACATATATGCTGTATGGGCAATGCAGGCACGTGGAGCCTGTCTGGAGTCAGTAAATGGCAACACGACACCTTGAGACTTTGATTCCTCTCTGAGGCTTTTGTGCAAGCTTATGCCCGGCTATAGCAGACTGTTGCAGTAGAACTCATAACAGGACTGAAAACTAGTGTATCACGACGACGACGACGAAAAGGACGAATGCTACGGCTGCTTCTACTACTGCACTGCAACGGCTACTTCTACCCTTTGCTAAGGGAGCGCATCCGTAGCCTGAGGCAGTGCTTGATACTAGGCGAGCCCCCAAACACTCGACCTTCGACAAACTACGCCTTACTACCCAAAGGCTCCTGGACCCTTGTAGTGAGATACCAAACCCTAGCCCCCAAAGCCGAAACCCTCCCCCACAAGGCCCGAGACCCTGTTTGGAGCCTTAGGGTAAGCCCCACAATCCGAAGAAAACGGCCCTGCACCTCGGCCGCAGAGCCCCCATCCCTGGCTGCGCTGATAAGCTGTTCCTTTAGGGCCCCAAAAATGCACATAAGCAATAATTAGGATAGGGATATCCCATATACATCCCCGTATAAGGAAGCCGATTAAGGTAGGGATATCCCTATAAAATGCTTATGCTTATGTGCTTTTTTGGCCCCTGATCCTTCTGGCTGTCGGAAGCCTCGGAGCATGGCGCAAGCAACACCTGCACGTCCATGGGCGAGTCCAGATTGAAAGTGTCATCCAAAGCCTTGCCCTCGTGCAGCACTCTTTGTCTGAATCGCGGTGGCAGGCCGTGCAACTTGCTCAGATGCCGCTTCAAAGCCTTCACATCCTCCACCTCCGTAACAGCAACGCTTGGCAGCTCCTCCCCTGACAGCAACGCAATGCGCAGCATGCTGGGCCACACGCGATTAACTTCCCTGTGCCGGAGATGCAGAACGGAACAAAAGTCCCATTTTTGTTTCTAGATCCAGCCTAAGTGTACACTTCCATGGAGCCCTCAGAACCCAACATCCTGCATGAAGATGGCTCCAGCCCGGTGCCCCCTACATACTGCAACGTATACTGCTTCAAGCCTTAACATGATAGTAAGAAGCTTTCTTGAGGTTCAGGTACAAACTCTATGAAACCTATTTGTGAACCCCCTTAAAACACCCTGAAAGTAATTGATCAAGAGATCGTGGTTTCCTTTGGGTGAGAAAGAACAGCAGGAATGTTGCTGTGAGCCGAAATCCCTCCAAGATCCAACTTTTGTTTAGTTGTTTGTAAGGGTTTTGCCCCTGCAGAGGTTAACGACGGTTACGGGTTCTTGGCACCACACGACGCAAAGGTGCCCACGGCACCGTCCGCAAAATGCGTTGTTGCAAAGACAGGAGGAAGCCAGAGACTCAAACTCCCGAAAGCCTTGATATAGGGGCCTTAACAGTGAGAATAAGGTTTTTTGGGGGGTACAGTAGATTACACGATAACCCCAAGAAGAGAACCCCAAAATAGTATCGGTAATAATAAAAACCCTATATTACCTTGTCTCTCCTCTTATGTCTTGTGCTTTGTGGTAGTCGTAATAAAAGGGCTACGCAATCAACAACCGCCCACGTGGGAAAACAGGAACATGCGTGAATAACTACGTATCTTACTCAAGACATCAGCTTATGGACATACTCTCACATTCTTAAAAACTCTACGCACGTCGCCCTCAAACCTAAATCCCAATCTTGAGCCCGCCGAATAGTATAGGGGCCTGTATTAGAACAGGATTTTGGGTACATTGATACTATAACTATACCCAAAATACTATTGGTAATGAGTTCGACCCCCATCTTTCTGAAGCACAAACTTTGCATCCTGGCATCCTTATAAAGCTGAAAGCGTCGATCGAGGATATACGACGTGCGGAGCTCTAGGGCTGAGGGTGTGTGGTGGTTTTTGGGTTCAGGGTTTCAGCTTGGGAAAATTCTTGGTTTCGGGCTTGAGGCTTCTTTTGGGGGTTAGGGGAATTGAAGACTGTGGCGCTAATTGGGGTCTAGGGTATCGTGTGTATGTTGAGTATCAGATCCTGCAGATGAAGCGGGAGCAGGAAAAGCTCAACTCATGAAGTGGCATGTCTTGAAAGCATCCTACATATCCAGTATCCAGAGGAACTATCGGCTAACCTTTGGGTGTATATTGGGATGATATAGGGAATGCAGTACCCCGAAAAGGTTAAAGGCTACCTACTCTACTACAAGGGTTCTTCCTAAACCCTATACCCTAAAGCCTTACAGTAGAACCCAGAAACTTGGAACATCAGTATCCGCATGCCCTTAAGGTAAAGTATAAGATCCTCCTAAACGCCATGTTCCAACTTTCTGGCTTCTACTGTACCCTGCCCTTCAGCCTTCAAACAGCCCAAAAGCCTTATCTAGTATGGTCTTTAAGCCCAAAAGCCTCAAGATATGAGTCCACAGAGCCTTAGGGTTATAGGAACCCTTTAGAGGGACCTCTAGGGTTTCCTTTAAAGGGTTCCTTCAAGGGCTCTATAAGGGATTCACAAAAGCCTTATATAGTATGGTCTTTCGGCCCGACAACCTTCAATTAATAAGTCGTTAGAGCCTTTCTCTACCCCTAAGGCTCCAAATAGCCCAAAGTAGGTACCATTTATAGACTTTAGACCCCAAAATAGGTAGTATTTGTATACTTGGGGTCTTAGGGTACTGGCCCCAACAGCCTTGCACTGTAAGTCCTTAGAGCCTTACCCTAAGAGTCCATGTGCCCAAATAATATATACATGTAGTCCCTTTACAGGAGCCCTTTAAAGTATATACCATTTGGGTACATGGACCCTTAGGGCTCCTCTACGACCAGAAATCAAACCCTGCACCCTTGGCATGAGGACACAGGCTCCCCCAACATCGAATGCTAGGGTTTAGGGTTTAGGGTTTAGAGGTCCCCCCAAACCCAGACAAAAACGGTATTTCCAGGTCTGTTTCGCGGCCGGGGCCCATACTTTGTCTACACCATGGGCGGTGGTTTAGGGTTCATGGTTTCGGGTTTTGTGCTTTGGGGTTTTAGGGTTTTTGAATCACGCAGCGGGCCTACACATTCAGATTTAAAACAGCCCGCGCGCCAGGCATTAAATTTCAGGATAGGGACGTGGTATGTAAAGGCCGCTGCAGCTAGGTGGCTCGGTTCAGGTGTGGCAGTAAAAACCGAAAATGTATGCTGCTCGTATAGTTGCTAATGCATGGAATGACCACCTCGTCAAAGTTTGAGGATGAAGCTCAAGATTGATTTTCCGTGACGAAATCGCTCATCACAACACCGAAGTGTATGAGCCTTAATCTTTAAAAACTGTTCTAATCTTTAAAAGCTGTTGTATAAAAGTGTGACCGGGCATCCTCATGAACAGCATTGGCAATCATTCAGGCTTCTTCTTTGAGCATCTTTTGTCTCGGCCGCACCAAGGCTTCGGCCTGCATCAGTAATCGGCAGACTTCATTCTGGTCCTCACCTGCCGGTTGCATCCGCATTATTCTACTATGCTCCATCGCGAGATCCATAGCCTGAGCTCTGAAGTAACCAATGGAGAAAAAGTATGGACTTTGATTTTATAATGGTTGACTCTATGTAACAGGTCGCCCAAAAAAGTATCAAAGTATGATACCTCAGCGCCCAGTAGCAGTTTGGCCCATGTCGTTCACCGGATCCGTCTGAGCGCATGCCTCCAGAAGCAGCTGCATGACTTGAGCGTGACCGTTTATTGTCGCATTCATCAATGCTGTCCATCCGCACCTCGGTTCCACTGCTTCCCCTCGCCAAGATTCTGAAGACACCAAAACAGAAAGGGCACAAGCATACTCCCAAAAGCCCGAATTCAAAAGCCACCCTGCAAAACCATTTTAAAACCTACAACACTGCAACGAACTCTGCCAAACGACACTCTATCAAAGCGGAGGCACTCATCGGCAAAGTTCACCTGAGCACTGGCCTCCCGAAGCATCTGCACCAACAAAAACCTTGAAGCCCAAAGTCTCAAAAGCCTGCAATGTAAACTCTAAATACCCAGAGACTCTAAACAATAACCCCTAGCCTTAGAAAAGCCTTATATAATCCCTCATAAGCAGCATTACAGGAAACCCCAAGAGGCCAAAACCTCTAATCAACCAACCACCCCAACACCCTAAACCCTAGTCCCTAGGCCCTACACCCAAAAGCACTACTCCCTAAACCGTTTAGGGTTTTGGGTTCAACCCTGAAGCCCTGAACCCTTCCAGAACCTCCAAAAGCAGCTTCACGATCTCAGGGTGATTGAAGCTTGACGCCAGCATCAGTGCCGTGCTATCGTCTTCCTGCAGAGCTCCCTGTAACAGAGTTTAATTACTGCAGGGTCTCAGTGTAAGTGCCAACACAGGGCTGAGATGAGGCATTGAACGGGTTTAGTAATTATAATCATTTGGATTGAGGTATGCGGGGTGTACTCCACTAGCTATATGTGAACGAAATGATATGGTGATAGTCCTACTCATTCTCTGGACCTCCATGTGAGCCCTAAACTCTCAAAACATGGTAGCGTATGAATCGGTATGAACGCCTAGTTCTAAAACACCCCCCCCCCCCCCCGCCCCCACCCACAACAATAGGTAATTCATACCAGCCACTGGATCAGGATCATCGAGCCAATCAGCTTGGCCCTTCACAACATCTGGGTCGACGGGGAGCTGCAGCAAAGCTTCAACCTCCCGCGAACTCCCTACAAATAGACTATAGATTAGAAGGAGCCCCCACCCTGTAATAGTGGTATAATAGGAATATAATAGGGCCCGTTTATGATCCTTATTATAGTCACTATTACTGGGTGGGGGCAGCTTCTAAACTACAGACTCGTAGATTCCAACGTTTCATCTCTGAGGCTCAAAAACGCAAGATTCTCAGACGCGTTCCAGAACTTTATCCCGCAGTCTGTATTGTTACCCTAAACCCTAAACCCTAAACCCTAAACCCTAAACCCTAAACTCTTGGTTGGGTGTTTTGGACTCTTCGGATACTAGGCTGATACCTGGCGTAGTTGGAGGTTCATGGGTAGTGATAAGTAGAGTTATTTGTCCATTAATACGCGTTATAACTATAGTTATATGGGAGTTTCCGAAAATAGGGGACCCTCAAATAGTACCCTAAATAGTAGGATCCTTATTATATGGACCCCCATAATAAGGTACCCCTAGTTTTCGGAAACTCCCATATACCCTTGAACCTCCAAGTGAGGGCCCTAGGAGTCCAGGATGCTCGGGGAGGGCTTGCACGTCGGCGGCTACGGTCTGGGATTCGGCTGTGGAGATCCAACACCTCGAACCTGTCCAAGTGTAGAAGGAGGGACCCTTAATAAGGACCCCTGGGTATATACCCTTAATATAGCGATTATATACCCATTATATAGCCCATTTTAGGGTAGGGGTCCCCATTAAGGGTCCCTCCTTTTCCCCTTTGAACCTGGAACCCGAAAACCGTCACAATAAGCCTAGTGTTGTTTTGCTTGCTATACTGTTGTAATTTATTTTAGTAAGTACTAGTGAAAAATACGAGCTTCGATTTTGAATCTTCATGACTCCTACAAGAAATGTTTGTTTATTGCTATAGAGTTTTATCTGGCCATCCTGTGAAACTGTGCCCGTCACGGGGCCGATTCTGTCTCTCCGCAGTCAAGATACAAGTAAGAGTTATTGCTAGAGAAACATACCACCGCAAAACACACAAACACACACACAGACACACACGGCCAGGGCATTCGATACTACCTCTTGATGTGTGCATATTGGCAATGTGCGAAGCCCGGGCCCGCATTTCGTGCCTTTCTCTAAGTACCATGGCGGTGGTGGAACTGTAAGGGCATTGTGACAACTTAGTTGATATTTCGAAATGCGTTCTGGGCCCTATCTCGTTTTATCAGGTTGAAGATAGGGGTTCGCAGTTAGAACAGTGTTCTGGGCGTCTATGCGAATCTCCACCTCGGACACGACGCCGTCCCTGGCAGCAATAATGAGCTGTTCCGTCTGGCTGCCGGAGGGCTCGGCAAACGTCGTTAGCACCACCTCTCTGAATTAGGATCCCCTTTAGGGCCATTTAAGGAAAAGGGTGTCGCACTATTTTGGTAACCCAAAAGGGTACCACAATTCAGAAAAGTACTCCTGCAGGTCCATCGGCGAGTCCAGCTGGAACGCATCATCCAAAGCCTGGCCTTCTCGAAGCAGTCTTTGTCTAAATCGCGGTGGCAGGCCGTGCAACTTGCTCAGTCGCTGCTTCAAGGCCTTCACATCGAGCACATCCTCAACAGCAATGCTCGTCAGTTCTTCCCCAGAAAGCAGTGCGATGCGCAGCATGTACCCTAAGGGTCCATGTACCCAAATAGTATATACATTGACCTTCAAGTACTCCCTATATAGATACATGGGGCCGAAAGTATATGCTATATCGGTACATGGACCCTCAGGGGTATAGCAAGGCACAAGCTGCTGGCTATAGCTCGAGCCTACGTACATGCACACCACCACAGACATGCTGCCTTCAGAACCACACAAGAGACTGTTAAATGCCTGTGTCAAGGAACATTCTTAAATCAACATAAGAACCTGTGCAACAGGAAAGCCTTGAACTCACACAGAGACGCCTCCTGTACAATCCGGAACAGGCCTTCAACTGTTTGCTACATCATAACAGGATGCCCTCCGTGATGCATTGAACATCGCCTAACTCAGTGTGGAGCCCAGGTATACACATGCCTGCAGGTCTTATTCAGGGGTTGTGGAATAGTATCTGGCTAGGTATGTATGTGTGCATGTATGCATACATGTGAATATATACATGTATATAAAAAAGGCTATGCTTGCTGCTTTCTACATATACATATATATATATATATATACACACACACACACAAGTGGGCTCTAAGGGTTCCTTTCGGCAAGACAGGAACCAGGCTTCGAGACGAAAGTCGTTGAAACTCTGGGCAGAATCCGGCGGTTTAGGGCTTAGATTTTTTCAGGTTTAGGGCTTAGGGCAGAACCCGACGGAAAGCCGAAAGAAACAACCCTCGACTAGGTATGATTGAGGGCTTGACAGGCTTTCTATAGGGCTTTTCTGGGTCCGAAGAACCCTGATAACTAGATATGTCTGTTTAGCATCGTCGTCACGCGACTATTTAGGCCCATACGACTCTGCGAGCCCTAATCCTTCGCAGTTCCGGCGTGTGGGCGATGAAGCTGTTAAGCTACCCAGACCCACGGGAGGATCTGGAAAGTAGATCGCCTAATTTGGGGCCCCATACTGCTAAGGGTACTTTATAAGAAGCCCCATCAAGGGATCTACTTTTTGGATCCTCCCGGGGGTCTGGGTACACAAACTCCCTAAATCCTGAGCCCCTATCCACAAACTGAGGCCCTGTTACGCGCGACTTCGAACCAGCTTCGTGCGCCGAGAGCTCAGATACTTACAAATCGGGGTAGTGGGCTGTTGATACCATAACCCTAAGACTCCAAGTATACAAATACTACCTACTTCGGGCTCTAAAGTCTATAAGTGGTACCTACTTTGGGCTATTTGGAGCCTTAAGGTAAGCGTTTGTTGTTAAACCTATCATCCCTATAAACCCTAAAGGGGAGTTTCCGAAAATGGGGGACCCCAATATGGTACGTACCCTCAATAGTCGGATCCTTAATATAAGGACCCGCATAATAAGGTACCTCCAATTTTCGGAAACTCCCATATTGTGCTGAATACAGTAGCAGTACTTGGAGGTTCATGGGTGGTTATAAGTAGAGCTATAAGTCCCCTAATATGGGTTATATAATTATAGCTACCCTACCTAGAACTCAACTGAAAGTAAACCCATGAACCTCCAAGTAACCCAGCTGGGATCGGAAGCTCCGCGCACGTGCGCACCCGAACTTCTTGTTCACAGTGCTGATTGAAGAGCTGTCTTGCCGAACACCCAACCCTACCCAAAACCCCCATGAGCCCTGAATCCCCAAGAGCCCAAAACCCGAACATCAAACTCGAGAATCATATGTCTCTGTAGCAAGGGCGACAGAGATGACAGCCACAACTCTGTAAAGCATGACCCGCAAGAGGCGCTGAGGGCTTGGGGTTCAAGGCAAGGTGGATTATGCGAACTAAACAAGACGTGTATGGGGTTCAAGTTAACAATAAGGCTCAAAATGGCGCAAACCCTGAGGGTCCATGTACCCAAATAGTATATACATTGGCCTTAATGTAGTCCCCATATAGGTACAAAAATATATACTACTTGGGTACATGGACCCTTAGGGAAAAGCCTCATGCAGTGGGGTCGTCAGGCCGAAAAAAACCCAAAACATGGTTTAGGGTTACAGGAACCCAAACAGTATGCTTAATTACTTATAGGGAACCCTTAAAGTATCCTTATAGGAACCCTTACAGTATGCTTGATTATAGGAACCCTGAAAGTATCCTTACAGGAACCACGGACAGCTATGTGGGCACTTGGCCCCCCCCCCCCTGGACAGCTCGAATTGCGCCTTTTGGGTCCAGCCGCGCAAAAGGCCGGCCCACACGGAATCCTTAAATCCTCCTCATTTACCCTAAGGGTCCATGTACTCAAACAGTGTACCTTTTGGGGCCCCCAAAGTATATACGAGTTGGGTACATGGAGCCTAAAGTCTGGAGTTACAGCTGCGTCTCCAAGACTGGGCATAGAGTTTAGGGTATAGGGTTAGGGTTTAGAGTTCAAGGTTTGGGGGGGTGCCAAGACTGGGCACATATACCCCAAAAAACAGAGGCCACAATGGGGCAGCTGTCATGCTCGGCTGTAACTTTCCTATCGTAAGGAACTCAGACGCAGCATCACGATGTCGCTTGTCTATTCCCATTCTGACACCTTCTATTCCCAAACCGCAAGAACCCTCAGCTCAACTAAAAAGGGGGCGAAAAGGACTTTTGGGGTATATTGTAGTTCAGAAACCCATAACAATATCGGCAGCTCTTCAGAAATCCTACACCCCAAACCCTGAACCCTAAACCCATTGTTCAAAAAGATCCTCTAAAACTTTTCCTGCGAGCCAATACCAAGACCAGGCCAAGTTGCGAAACAGCGTTTGGGGCTTAGGGCTTGGGAGTTCCGTTTGAGGGCTCCTTAAAAGGGCTCTATAAGGGATAGGGTTTAGGGGAATCGGGTTTAGGGTTTAGGAAAGGGGTGCACCCTTCTGATTCGGCCTTAAAGTGCGCCTTTCACGGCCGATGTATATACTATATATGTGTGTGTGTATATATAATAATATCTATATATATATATATATATATA